AACCCCCCCTTCTTGCCTCCCTCCGCCCCTTTCTCCCTCGCCTCAATGCTCCCCCCTTGACCACAGAGCCAGCTGGCGTTGCCACAGATGACCAACCCCGGAACCTTCGCCGCACCGGTTGCAGTGGGCATCAATGTCACATTGCTTTCCCCCATAACCGGCATAGCCACACGCCCCCTCGTAACATGGTCCGCCGTCTCCTCTGAGCCAGCAACATCGTACGAAGCCATCGGCTCCATTGCCGTACAGTACCTTGACGCAGCTGCGGCGGGGACGGCGGCGGCGGCGGCTCCGGCGCCGCCAATCGTCCTTGGCTCACTTGACGGCACGTACCTCAGTGCGAATGCGTCGAACCGCGTCCTGGCACCGGCGGCGCCGGCGGGCATTGCGTCGTACTTGTCGGAGGCTTCTGGTTGGAACGTGTTGCAGTTGGATTTGCAGCGTGGCGAGGTAGTGGTGGAGGTGTCGGGTTGCCGCGGCGCCCTCGTGGAACAGCTGCTGATGCGGACGAGTATGGGGCGGCTGTGGACGGCACCCATAGGGCCCGCGCTGACTTGTACGGTGCCGTTCAACCGTCGGCCGCCGCCGGGGGGGTACCTGATGGCCATCCAGGTAGGCGAGGTGTGTATGTATGTAATGTAATGTATGTATGTATGTAACCATAATTTTTAAAAACTTAATTTTTATTTATTTAAATTCAATTCTGCTATGAATAGCTAGCACCAATTACTAAACCGTATTTTTTCTCTTGCCGTTGATGGTGTGTTGACATGTCCGGCCCGAAGGTCTTTGGCGGCAGCTTCGTGGAGGAAATGAAGCTGATTTGGGCTACTCCGATTCGGTGGCCGTTAGATCCCCCCAGCCCGCCACCTAGGCCAGCATCCCAACCTGCGCCTCCCATGGACTCCGTACCCGTAGCCGTACCCGTGTCGCTGACGCCGCCGCGACCAAGTCCCGCGGCGGGCCCGGGCGGCGGCGGCAGCGGCAGCGGCGGCGCCTCCGCCACGCCGCCTGACGTCCTGGGACCGACGGCCTCCGTCGCTTCCGCCAGGAGTACGAGCTCCGCAGTGGTCGGCGTCAGCGTCAGTCTTGCGGCGCTTGTTTCCGTACTGATGGCTGGGCTCGGCGCCTTGTGGTGGCTAAGGAGGCACCGGCAGCAACGTAGCGTCGCCGTCCCGACGGCGGCGGCGAAGGCGGTCGGTTTCGGGGCTGCCGCTGGCGTCGGTGGCGGTGGCGGCGGCAGTGGCGGCGGCGGCGGCGCCGCTGCAACCAGCGATTCAGTGCGCTGCTTAGAGCTGCTGGCGGTGCTTGTAGACGGGTCCCGCCGGAGACAGCAGCTGTCGGCGGCGACGGCAGCGGCGCCGACAGCAGTTGGAAACGCTGGCAGCGGCAGTGAATACGGTGGCGACAGTTGCGACCTAACCAAGCCGCGGGAGCAGGAGCGTGAGAGCGGCCCTGGGGCCTCGCCTTCCAGCATTGATACCACGCTGAGCAGCGCCTGCGGCATTCGTACAGTTGTACAGTGCAACGCGGCGGCGGCGGCGAACGGCGGTGGCGGTGGCCCTGCACTCCACGCCGTCTTAGATTCAGACCGTACTGGTAAACGGCCTGGCGGCGGCAGTGGGGCTGCCGCTGCCGCCGCCGCCAGTACGGCAACTCCTTACGGGAATGGCGTACCACATTGCAGCATTGCGCTGGGGCCGTCGTCGCCTGCGGCACGCCCCACGGATGCGCTCGACGTCAGTACGGCAACCGGCACAGGAGCCATTGTCCCCGGCAGCGACGGCAGCGGCAGCAGTGGCGTCGACGGCCGCGCGGCGTCGCGGCGTGGCGGCGCCAGGCCTGCAGCTGCTCCGGGTTTACTTAACGACCCCGCCAGCAATCCCACGGCCCAAGCAGGGGACAGCAGTGTACCCGAACAGGGCCCACTGATGACGGCGGCGGAGGCAGCGACAGCGGCGGCTTGCGGGCCGCCGGCGGCGGCGACGCTGCCGTCAGTGTCCCCGCAACCGCCGCCGCTCCCCACGACATGCGACAACCCTTGCCAACCCATGTCTCCTTCTGGAACGGAGTCTGTGGCTCATCAACTTCATGCAGCGCTGTTCTACAACGTGCTCTATGTGGGTTTCGGGGTGAATCCGGGGGAAGAGCTGAATCCAGGGTGGAAGGGTGGTGGTTTCGGAGGGATCTGGCGACGATCTGCGGCTCGATTTGTAAGGGGCAAGAGAGACATCACACATGCATTACATCGCACAGGCATTGAAAGGGAGAGTGCTGAGCTGCCTCTTCAGCAGCGCCGCATGGCCCAAGTCATCAGGATGACGGAGAGTGTGCGAACAGGGAGGGAGGGGGGGAAAGACGAAACACTGGCGAATGAAGCCGATGAAAGGGAGGGGGAAGGGGGAAAAACTAGGGGTTTTGACCTGACACGGACTCTGGCGGCACCCAGGAAGCAGCCGCAGCAGCGGTGGAGGGGTGGAGGTGGTGGTGAAGGTGGGGGGCCGGGGGCCCTCTTTAATGAGGAGAGCACGAGGTTGATCTGTTGATTCTTCTCGGTCACCAACGGCGCTTCTCCGCGTCTGCTCGCCTGTCCTTCTGTCTGTCTGTCTGCGGCGTTTTTCTGTTACATCCTCAGAACTGGAAGCCGCCGTCACTCGCGGCGTCGTTGGTCATGCCTGGCGTGCCGTACGGCAACGGTATTGCGACGCAGATGCCGCCTGCGGCGGCAGCAGCGGCGGGTGTACCCTCGATGATGGCGCCCGCGCCGGCGGCGGCACGGGAAACCACTTCCGGCAGCGATTCTCATCGGGGCCCAGGAGCTGTGAGTACGGCACCCTCACCCACCGCCACCTCCGCTGGACAAACTTCATCCATTGCGGCGCCGTTGACCACTTCCGGGAACGGCGGCGGCGGCGGCACGGGCTCGGGGGGTAGCAGCGCAACGCACCGCTCTGCAGGGAAGTTACTAACCGTACCGTCACAGCCGCCGCCGCCGCCGCCGTCGCTGGCGCATCTGATGGCGGCGGCGGCGGGGGTGCCGTACGCCCAGTCGGCCGGCAGGGCGTCCAGCGGGTTTTTATCATCCTCGCAACAGCGCATCTCCCCGCCGCCCCCGCCGCTGCCGCCAGGTGCTATTGCGACTACACGATCGTCAGGTCACCGAGAGGGAAGTTGGCCGACGGCGACGGCGACGGCGTCGGCGGGCCCCGGGTTGGCGCCGTCGGGGTCAGGTGCAGCAGCTCCGAAGTCGCAAAGCGATCGGGCGGAGACGCCGGCGGCGGCACCGGCGGCCCCCGGGACAGGTGGCGGCGTCTGCGGTGGGGTAGCGGCATCGCCGTCTGCCGTACTCGACTCGTACGACGTTACGGAGCTGTTACTAGGTCGTGACGTCCTGGTGGACGTCGACGATCCGTCGTCGTACCTTGGACATGGTGAGGAGAATGTTGGTGTTGGTGCTGGTGCTGGTGCTGGTGTGGGGAGGGTGATGTGCGTGCGTGGGATTGTGTATGTCGTACACAAATCTTTTCCGTCTGCTTTTCTGTGGCCTACTCTGATAAGCTATCCTGGCATAGAGGTACACAACACAAGCACGCGCACATGCCCCGGCTGGAAACTTGTTTCCACGACCTCCCTTAGGACACACACTTGCTGCTCAATGGTGTGGCAGAATAAGTAGTAATGAGGGGCCGCATTGGGGCCGCCATTACCTAGCTCGCCAGCTCCTGTGTCTCTATATGCACAGCGCGTGGCTCAGATCATAAAAACACGACGCGTTCCCGCCAGCTTACCCGACTCGTCCGCGAGGCCATCATCAAAGTCCCCGCTAAAGCCAACACACGCTAAAGCCAACACCGCACATGCCTACTACCTGTCCTCCCCCCCCCACTTTCCCCCGTGTGTCCACACACGCTTCAGGCACTTCGGGTGTCGTACGGCGAGGCCTGCTGCGTCAGCCGGACGGCTCCTGGCGACCCGTGGCGGTTAAGCTCCTTAACCAACCTAACGACCAGGCGGTTGACGCCTACCGGCGGCACCACAAAACGCTGCTCCAGGAGATCACCATTCTGGGGTCGTTACGACATCCAAATATCGTACAGCTCCTGGGCGGCTGCGTGTCTCTGCAGCCGGGGACATCCTTCCTGGTGGAGGAGCTGTGCGGGCGGGCGCTCAGCCATGCCATCTACGACGGTGCGTGGGCCGAGGTTTGGGATTTTGGATGGCTGGTGGGAGTGGGAGTGGGAAGGGGACGGGGGTTTGGGCTTTGGGAGGCGATTACCGAGGCACGTTTTGAGGTGGATGGTATAGGTATATAATATATATATAGGTATATATATACCTATATATATGTATATATATGTATATATATGTATATATATACCTATATATATGTATATATATACATATATATGTATATATATATGTATATATATGTATATATATGTATATATATACCTATATATATGTATATATATACATATATATATGTATATATATGTATAGGTATAGGTAGGTAGGTATATATATATAATTTTTGGGGTATATCTTAAGCTTAACAAGGTTAAGAAGCTTGTCTTTTGTGGTTTACAATTTTTTACAATTTTTACAATTTTTTACAATTTTTTACAATTTATGCCGCCGTGTTTACGTATACGTAAATTGATACATGCATCTGTATATACAGAGATGAATTTTTTGCGTCTGTATTTGTACCTTTTTCGTATTCTTTCCCGCTGACGTCGCGCATGCCTTACGATGTGCAGCCTCCACGCCGTACAGTTTACGGCAGGTCCTCCGCTGGTGTTGCGACATTGCTCGTGGCCTCGCGTACCTTCACCCCAACATCATGCACCGGGACCTCAAGCCGTCGAATGTGTTGTTGGATCAGTACGGCACCGCGAAGATTTCGGATTTCGGATTGGCGCGATTCAAGATTCATACGACGCTCGTGACCCGGGATGCAGAAGTGGGAACGGTGCGTGTGTGTGTGTGTGTGTCTGCGTGTACGTATGCATGTATGTACCACCCCTACCTCCCCCCCTACACTCTATGTTCCTTACGGCAGTTCTTAGAACAATCGGTCTGTACATTGCCGTAACCCGGCTAACCTGAGGCAGCGGGCTGTTGGCGGCGGCGCAGCGGCCGAATATCTGCAATAACATACATACATACATACATACATACATACATACATACATACATACATACATACATACATACATACATACATACATACATACATACATACATACATACATACATTTCTTTATAAGGCTACTTCTCCCCTGGACCAGCCCAGGAAGGGACAGGTGGTGGAGGTCAGTTGTTTTAAGGTGGTTGCAAGACGTCTTGTGGTGTCGAGCTCTCTTAGCCTTTCTCTCTTGGAGGTTTTTTGTTGGCCTGTTAGGTATATCAGGAGCCCTCCCCTGCCGGGACTGCCCTAACCGAATTTTTGTTTGTTTGTTTGTTTTCCCTTCGAATCCCGTTTTCGTTGGTGGTGTTTTGGGGGGTTGTTTCAGAGAGCCTTTGACTTTGCCCTAGCTGAGACTTGTGGACTCGCTCTAGCGGGACCTGAGAGCCCTTCGTGGTGTATTCAATGCAGCGCCATCCCCGGATGGAGGGGCTGCGGAGTGGCTGCGTAGAGTGTTGGCAGTCTGAGTCGGGGTCGGGAGCACACAAGACTAACCGACTTGTGCTGTGTGCTCCCGACCCTTGCGCTGTGTTTCGGCTTCGGCCCCCGGCTC